GGATTTCACTGCCTTGAATTTACTCTTTAAAAGTGTGAGACCTCGTGATTTCCCTTGTCAGAGAACGTTTTAAAGCTGCATTACGTAACATTTGTGGCACAAGCTTCAACACGTACAGTATTTGAGCCAAAGCACTGCCCAGAAAGATTTAATTCTGGATTTAAGAGGCAACTACACTGCAACACCTTTCTGCTGTCACTATAGGGATGTAATAATATTCAACTAAAATATCGTGATATCGTATCGTCAAAGTTCTCACAATATCGTGGACCATTACAATATTTCGAATTACAAGGGCTAAACCAGAGCTAAACCGGGGCTAAACCAGGTCTAAACCAGGTCTAAAGCAAGACTAAAGCAGGACTAAAGCAGGACTAAAGCAGGACTAAAGCAGGACTAAAGCAAGACTAAAGCAGGACTAAAGCAAGACTAAAGCAAGGACTAAAGCAGGACTAAGCAGGACTAAAGCAGGACTAAAGCAGGAACTAAAGCAGGACTAAACCAGGACTAAACCAGGACTAAAACCAGGACTAAACCAGGACTAAAGCAAGACTAAAGCAGGGCTAAAAAGCAAGCTAAGCAGGCTAAAGCAAGACTACAGCAGGACTAAAGCAGGACTACAGCAGGACTAAAGCAGGACTAAAGCTAAAAGGACTAAAAGCAAGACTAAAGCAAGACTAAAGCAGGACTAAAGCAGGACTAAAGCAGGACTAAAGCAGGACTAAAGCAAGACTAAAGCAGGACTAAACAGGACTAAACCAGGACTAAAGCAAGACTGAAGCAGGACTAAAGCAAGACTAGAGCAGGACTAAAGCAGAACTAAAGCAAGACTAAAGCAGGACTAAAGCAGGACTAAAGCAGGACTAAAGCAGGACTGAACCAGGGAAGAGTTATGGTGCAGCAATGGATGAAAAAACAGAGGGAACTACATAGACCATGATCCTTTGCTCCATTTCAGTGCAGACGACATGAAGAAATAACAGTTCTAAAACTTTTAAGTCTTAGTTCTTTGGATTAAGTCTTGTCAAGGCATTTTAAGAGGGAAAAGTCACAAATTAACAGTTTGTTTCACAGCTTTCACAAAATATCGCAATAAATATCGTTACATCCGTATCCAGAGGTGGGGACTTGTGAGTCGTGACTTGGACTCGGGTCAGACTTGAGTCACTATTTTTAGGACTTGAGACTTGACTTGATAAAATGGACTAAGACTCGGGACTCGACTTGGACTTGAAGCTCAATGACTCGGACTTGACTCGAACTTGAGAAGACTTGATGCTTCTCTTAAAAAAAAAAAATGTTTTTTAGAAAATACTTTTGTCTTTACAGTTGATGATAAATGCGGTGCTGGATTTTAAAGAAACAAACTGGAACATGTCCCTCCCACTTCTGTTTGGTACTTTGGATGTAACTGAAGTACTGTGATGTAGTATCCTCAAAAGTACTACAGCAATATAAAGTACAATGCAGTAAAACAGAGGGAACTACAAAGAACATGATCCTTCCATTTCAGTGCAAAAACACAACAAAATAACTGTAAATACGCACTTTTAAATCTGAATTCTTTCTGTTCTGACTGTAATGATTCACACCAAGATCTTGTCAAGACATTTAAAAAGAAAAAAATGTCAATTTCTAAAACTCTTACATATAAATACTCCATGATTTTTAAGTACTATTTAGTTTAAAAGTCATACAAACTGTAAAAATCTAAGCTTTATTTGGTGCTTTTTTTGGTTTAAAGACTTGAAATGACTTGAGGCTCAAAGCAGACGACTTGGACTTGACTTGAACTTACGGGCCAGTGACTCGAGACTTCGACTTGGACTTGACTCGGACTTGAGGTCAAAGACGTCCCACCTCTGCCCCTCTGACTGTCACTGACTTTGTCCTGGTCATTTCCAACGAGGACGGATCGTGTTTTTAAAGTTTTTTATGTGAATTATTTAAGGTTTCTTATATTTGGATGGCACAAATGTTAAAAAGTTAAAGTGTGTAAAGGCAGAGAGGAGGAGGGTGAGGAAGAGGAGGATGAAGAGGAGGAGGAGTGTGGGGTTGTGGCGGAGTTAAACAGAGGTCTGTGTGTGTGAGGAGGAGACACCTGCAGCACAGACACAGCACTGAGCTCTGTGCTTCAACCAAACACACTGAGCCTTATGTGAAAGAAAGAAAGAAAAAAAGAAAGAAAAAAAGACAGAGAGAGAGGGAGAGATGAAGAAGAGAGAGAGGGAGAGAAAAGAGAGCAGGGAGAGAGGGGGAGGAGAGGGAAAAGAGCAGGAGAGGGGGGTTGAGAGAAAGAAAGAAAGAAAGAGGGAGGTAGTGCAAGAAAGAGGATGGAGGGAGAAATGAAGGAAACGGGGGAGAACAGAGAGGAATAGTGTGGAGAGAGGGAGAGCAGAGATAGAAAAAGAGAAAGAGCGAGGAGAATGGAGAAAGGAGGAGGAGAGAGAAAAAAAGAGAAAGAAAGGAGAGAGAGGGAGGAGAGGGGGAGGAGAGAGAAAGAAAGAAGGGTGAGGGCAAGCGGAGAGAGAAAAAGAGAAAGAGCAGGGAGACAGGGGGAGTAGTGAGAGAAAAAGAGAAAGAACGGAGATAGAGGGAAGAGATAAAAAGAAAGAAGGGAGCGAGAGGGAGGAGAGACAGAAAAAGAGAAAGAGCAGGGAGTGAGGGTGAAGAGAGAGAAAAGGAGAAATAGAGAAGGGAGAGAGGGAGAGGAGAGAGAAAAAGTGAAAGAGACGGGACACTGTGGGAGGAGAGAGAAAAAGAAAGACGGGAGAGGGCAGTTGGAGAGAGAGAAAGAGAAAGAGCGGGGAGACAGGGGAGTAATGAGAGAAAAAGAGAAGGGAGATAGGGGGAAGAGAGATAAAAAAAAAGAGAAAGAAGGGAGAGAGGGAGGAGAGACAGAAAAAGAGAAAGAGCACAAGGGGAGAGGGGGAAGAGAGAAAAAGAGAAAGACGGGACACAGTGGGAGGAGAGAGAAAAAGAAATAAGGGAGAGGGCAGGAGGAGAGAGAAAAAGACTAAGAGCAGGGAGACAGGGGGAGTAGTGAGAGAAAAAGAGAAAGAAGGGAGAGAGGGGGGAGAGACAGAAAAAGAGAAAGAGCAGGGAGTGAGGGGGAAGAGAGAGAAAAAGAGAAATAGAGAAGGGAGAGAGGGAGAGGAGAGAGAAAAAGTGTAAGAGAGCAAGAAGAGAGGGGGAAGAGAGAAAAAGAGAAAGACGGGACACAGTGGGAGGAGAGAGAAAAAGAGAAAGAGCGGGGAGACAGGGGAGTAGTGAGAGAAAAAGAGAAAGAAGGGAGAGAGAGGGAGGACAGAGAGAAAGAGAAAGAGCAGGGAGTGAGGGGGAAGAGGGAGAAAAAGAGAAAGAGCAAGGGGAGAGGGGGAGGAGAGAGAAAATGAAAAAAGCGAGAAGAGAGGAGGAGAAGAGAGAGAAAAAGAGCAGGGAGAGAGAGGAAGGAGAGACAGAAAATGAGAAAGAGGAGAGAGGGGGTAGGAGAGAGAGAAAAAGAAAGGAGAGAGAGGGGGGAGAAGGAGAAAAGGAGACAGAGAGAGGGGAGAGAAGGGGAGGAGAGATAGAAAAAGAGAAAGGGAGAGAGGGCAAGCAGAGAGAGAGAAAGAAAGAAGGGAGACAGGAGAAAGATGGGGAGAGAGGAGAGAAGAGTGAAAGAAAGGGAGGGATGGAGGAAGAGCAAGAAAGAGAAGGAGAGAGAGAAAGAAGGGAATGACAGAGTGAGAGGAGGATTGAGAGGAGAGATGAGAGAGACAGGAGAAAGTATAGGGGGAAAGACAGGCAAATAGAGAAAGAGAAAGAAAGAAAGAGGAGAGGAGAGGAGAGGGAGGGGGAGAAAGAGGGAATAGACAGGTGGAACAGACAGAGAGAGGGAGAGGGAGAGGGGAAGAGAGAGGGAGAGGGGGGGATTCACACACAAAGTGACGGTTAAAACCACAGCGTCAAACACAAACCAAACTTTAGAGAAAACATCACACACGGTTTTTACTTTATGGAGGTTTTTATCATTTCATTTCTCTCACTCCAACTTTTACTGTGAGGAAACTCCATCGGCTGATATTAATATTTGTTTCATTGTTGCTGCTGCCAAATATTTAATTTCCTTCGGGATCAATAAAGTATTATATAACTACCTGTGTATCCGTCTATCCTTAAAATACAACTTCAATGATAATGCCAAGTCAGCAGTTAGGCAGTAAGGCTACGTTCAGACTGCAGGGCTGAACGCTCAATTCCGATTTTGTTGTGAAATCCGATGTTTTTGCGTGGTCGTTCACATTTCCAATTAAATGTGACTTGTATGTGACTCCAGTGTGAACATTAAACGGCCCAAAAGTGTCCCGCATGTGCACTGGAGACACGACGACGTCAACCGCAGCGAGCGTCTCTGTGTTTACAGAAGTTGTCCAAACATGGACGCAGCATCGAGCACCTGGAGATTTTAAAGTTCCTCTCGTACCGGAGCCAGAACATGAACAACTTACTTGTTTTAAGGAGGAGATTGAGAAGGAGAAGGACGAGGTTTTTGGTCGTGGTGTTTTGTGGGCAGCGGCAGCGCAGCGACGTCCGTTGAAAGGAACGTGTGGATGTGGAGACGGAGCCAAGAGTGGTGAGTGGTTGATGTGCTTCACTTCAGTCACACAGAGTTCATTAACAATTTTCACCTACTTCAGTGCAGAATAGTGACGTTTGTGGCTTGTTGATAACGTGTGAGTCAAATTAATGCGCTTTGGCCGTTCAGACTGAAGTCACATGTCAAAAGATCAGATATGTATCGGTTTCAGGAGCACATATCCAAGTGTCCTGGGTCACATTTGAAAAAAATCGGATCTGTGTCGTTCAGACTGTCATTAAAAGATCAGATACAGGTCACATAGGGGCCAAAAAATCAGATTTGGGTCACTTCAGGCTGCAGTGTGAACATAGCCTTAGTTATTTATGTCTGACCGTTCCAGCTGGATAATAAAGTTCTAGTTTGTTGAAGTTCTACTCACTGAAGCCCACAGGATTGTCCAACAGGAGCCACAGTCCAAAGCCCAAGATCACACCTCCCAGCAGCTACAACACAGAGAAAAGGTCAGGGTCAGTGACAAATCTATGGCAAATAAGTACTTTTTTCTTTTTCTTTTTTTATTGTGAGACAGTACAACAATAAAAGACATTTGGGATTTTGATTTGAGGGAACAGGGAGTGCATACATCAAGGTTTAAACAATTTTATTTTTTATAAATAAATAATAAGAAGGAAAGGGCAGAAACTAATACCCCTCCTCTTTTTTTCCTCCTCCGTCCTCTCCTTTCTCTCCCCCCGTCTTCTCCTTCCTTCACTCCTCTGGGCGGCCGTGGTCTTAAGCTGATCTGATTTCATTTCTTTTACACAAGTGTGAAGTAGGCCAGTGTGCTTCATCCTCTGCAGATTAACGCTTTCAGCAAACACTCGGATTTAAGAACGACACCGCGAAGACAGAAGAGCGATGTGTAGTGTAGAGCTCCTTCAGCCTCTCCCCCAAATACTGCTTCATGTTCGATACCAGACAAACAAATCTCTCTCACATAAAATTAAAGTCCATTTTGTATTTTTTTCTTGAGTTTTCAGACTATCTCAAATCTTTTCTGACTTGTTTGTAATGTGTGCGTTGCGTCACCATGGTAACAGTTAGACGTGCCACCACCGAGATACGCCATCAGCAGCACGAGAAGTCACCGCCAAATATCAATAGAAAAAAGGAGAAAGTCTCTGGAGGATTTCGACGCTCCAGGTTTGAGTTGATGTTGACTAAAATGTGCAAAATTTAAAGAAAACATCAAGGTAAAGATGCAAAAAATGTTGTGTAAAATGTAAATTCTACAACATGTGGAAAAGGACTTTACGCCAGGAGCAACTTTCACTCCTCAGGATGTTTTTTGCTGCTTATTTTTCCACTATTATTTCCTGTTATATCTTGGACCATCACAAGTTGACAGGGACCGATCCAAACTCTGGTCTCAGGGCCCCAAAAAACATCCTATTTAGGAAAAGCTACTGGCAAAATTATGTAAATGTAAATATTAAGGTTCTGCAACTGCATAAATGGTCAAATACCCTTAAACTTTTGCATGGTGCATCCTGACACATGGGGGAAACTAGCAGAAAAATATTCTGGCGCTTGCTGCCTTTCTACTGTCAAATATCACCCCCAAAAAGACAAAAAAAATGTGTGTCCGCTTGACAAATTCATCATCAAAAGAGATAATTTTCAAGCATTTTATTACATATATCACTGCCTCAAATGTACCTGAAAAACTCCCCAAGTTTATAAGCTTCAATTTAAGCCCAAGATGACCTTTGTATCTAGAGAGAAACGGTTACTAGGACCAAAGTTCTTCACTGTACCACAAACCGCCAGAAAGCAGAACTTTCAGGCATTACCATTTCATATGGGATTAAGCATTTTTTTTTCCATAGAAACAATATTTTAAAAGAGTTGACTTATGTACAGTATAGTGAAAAAACGGTAGCCAAAAAATATCCTGAGGAGTCGACCTGGCTCTGGGCCGACTACTGCTACTACTGAACTTAAAGGGCCCATATTACTGCTACTTTCTGATCAATGTTATAATGTTGTTTCCTCATCACAAACAGACCTGGAGTTTGGAGAGTGTTTTGTTTCATTCACACACGTTTAACACACAAACCCTTAGAGTTCTTCTCACAAACAGAAAAAACTCTGTTCAACCTTGTGATGTCATGTGGTGATGATACAGGAAATGCTCCACTCCACACACTTTCACTAGAATCATTTGGATGATTTCAGACCTGGAATTGCCGATCTCCACTTAACTAAATGTAAAAGGTTGATCAGACATGTCAGACTCAGGCCCGGGGAAACAAATTTGGCTCACGATTGAATTATTATTTAGTTAAAATGTTGTTATTTTATATTTTGCTTGTTCTGGATTCAATGTTTAAGCAAAACTATTATTAAACATTTATTTTAATAACAAAAGGTTTAACATATATCTTGAAAGAAGAGAAAACATGCAGATTTCAGTTTCAGTTTTCAAAAAATATTTAGTTTGACCCACGACTTAGTCCCAATTTTAATTTTGGCCTGTGTGAATTTGAGTTTGACACTCCTGAGGTAGATGTTAACTACTTTTATTTTTTTCACGGGGCCACATAAAAAACAGAAAATATTGTGGAGGATCAAGCCAAAATGCTTAACTCAAGTCTGTGTAATCTTAATTGTATTTCTTTATAAAAAACAGTAAATGTCATTGTTTTGACGAGCTGCTCAGACTGGTAAGAGTTTATATGTTACAACTAAGCAATGAAAAAGTGAGGCTGCCTTATAAAAAATTGTAATTTAAATCACCTCTAAAATAAAAGCCATGCAGCTTTAAATAATTAAATAAGTAAAATAATTAAATATGTTTATTTTATAATTCCAAAATAGCTTAGACGGGCCAGTCAAAGTCAACCAAAGAGCCGTATGTGGCCGGAGAACTGGACAATGCCCAGGTGTGTGTTCACTTGAAAACTATTGCTTCATGACATCACAAGGTGGACCACAGCATTTTGAGCTTTGCAGATATAAACAGACTAATAATAAACGATTACTTAAACATGTGTGAATGAAACCAAACACAACTCCAGGTCTGTTTTAGAGGAGGTAACAACATTATAACATGACTTAAAGCTCACTAGAAGAAATTCTGCGTAATGTAGGAACTTCTCGTTTGCAGAATAGTAAAATTGTTGGTTTCAGTTCAGTCAGCTGCAGATCTGTTGTTGATAAAATACTCACAAAGAAGATGAGGTTGAAGAGGAACAGGAAGTACTTGGTGGCAGCGAGGCAGCCCTTTCCCATGGCTCTGATCTGAAACACAAAAACACACACACATAAAAGATGAGAGAAAGTATAAATGTGGAACCGATGTGATATTGCAACGGCAACGATTTGGGGAAGTGCGTTTTTTTAATGACACGTGTTTCTATTTGTGTTTTAAAAGGTGCACAAAAGTTACACAGTGCAGCTTTAACGACAGGATTCTGTTCAAAGTTTCACGGCTAGAAGAAGTGAAAAAAATACTGAAATCTGAACTGACAAATAACACAAGAATCACATTTGAGAACATGTTTGTACAGATCTAAACTACAGGGTTTGATTTTTTTTAAAGCAGAATAAGACACATTTTGTGGAGGAAATGACAATACTTAAAAATTACAATATTTTTTTATTTTTATTTCAGTCATAGGTATATTTTGACAGTCATATTTAACATACACAGACCGAAAACGTGTAGGCTGAAGCTTAAGCTTATTATGCCTACCCTTTTTTCCTTTATCAGAGCGTCATCTCAACACCTTTTCATCTTCATAAATACAGCAAGAGGAAACAGACAAATCAGAAACAGTACAACAAGGTACTACAGCACAAACTAAGTATCATAATTCTTGTATCTATCCAGAGTTGAACATTTAAACTTCTTTATAAAGTGAAAGAGACTGGTGCGCAATTTTAGGTTTTCTGTACAATTGTTCCAGAGCTCCAGCCCTTTAACAGATTTACAAAATTTCACAATGTTTGTTCTGATTTTCTATTTGATAAACATGGCCGTACTTCTGAGCTCATATTGGCTCTTTCGGATTTTGAACATGTTCTGTAAAGATTTTGACAGATTGTTGTTTACTTTGAACATGATTTTCAGAGTATAAAGGTCGACTAAATCATAAAATTTCAGCGTTTGAAGGTTTATAAATAACACATTGGTTGATTCGTTACAAGATGATAATGTGATGCTCTTATTGCCTTTTTTGAGAGGTAAAGACTGGATTTGTATTAGTCTTATAAGTATTGCCCAAATTCTCAATTATGTAGGGCATTACCAGCGAGTTGTATATAATAAAAAGACTGTTTTTATCTAGGATATATCTATATTTGTATATAATTGCGGTCACTTTGGATAGTTTATTTCTAATTTTATTTATGTGTGATTTCCAGTTTAAATTATGGTCTATAGTTACTCCTAAAAATTTATTTTGAAAGACTCTTTCTAGTGGGATATTTGGGATTTGTTAATTAATTCCATTCAAATTGAGATTTAATTTAGATTGATTTGTAAGTGTAACTACAATGACAATAAGCAAACTAAAGCAGGATGTCTTGTTTGAGCATATATTGTGAAGACCATAGCAGAAGAGTAAATCCTTTTGAGTTCTAGATCTAGTCTAGATTTCTTTTAGTTCACAGCAGCAGGCTAGCAGCTAACAGTCACTATTATTAAAATATCTGATTATTTTTATATATATAGAATTATTTTGTACATGTAATTTTGTAATTTGTGAACTTGTGGCATTATTGTAATATTTATTATGCATCAAAATTAGCATTAGCGTTAGCATCGGCGTTAGCATTGAGACACAAACATCTCTTTCTTTGCTGAAGTATTAATTTTATTTGTATTTTTGTAACATGTTTTCAGTGACATCCACCCACGGCTCCTGGTCCAGTGTTTTATCTTTAAATATTTGTTCATTTCAGCATGACTCAGCATAAACACAGAGCTAAAAAATGAACAGGAAGTAGTGACGCTTTTGTTTACAGAGCTCAATGAATACTTTTCAGGTTGACTTAACTGTACTATCAGACACTTGGAGCTATAGACAGAGGAGGTGACAGATTTACTCAGATCTGGGACATAATCCAGAATATCCACACAGTTTACATTGGGATTAAAGGAAACCAGTGCGGTCTACAGCTCTTCAGATCAAAACACGGGGAAAGGAGGTCACAAAATCAAATGTTAAGGTTAAAAGAATTGTATGTACGTTTTTTGTTGTTTTTTTTGTTTTTAGTTTTTTCTTATGGTCTTATATTGAGATGTTATAAAAATACATTATAAAAAATAAATATAAAATATCAGTTCATTTCTGTGGCTAATGCGTTTCAACCGTAGACTAAATAAAGAAGTGGACTGAAGGAATGTGACGTCACCCACAGCGTTCGGCTCCAGTCAAATGAAGATCATCGAGACAAGCAGTTACAGGGGCAAATTTGGACCCAGAGTCAACAAAATGGTGAAAAAACTATCAAACAAAAAAACAAAACAAAAACAAAACACAGGATCATGGAGTGATTCAGTGATATATCGTGAAACTACATTGCACAATTTTCTAATACATTTTTAAGAATCATATTTTTCACAAAAATTGCAGAGTTACATTTACTGTGTTACCAGTGTACAGGCCAGGGTACGGTCGAGTCTCCGGTCCAGTCTAGTGTACCGTTCAGTTTCCGGTCCAGTTCCCAGCCTAGTCTCCAGCCTAGTCTCCAGCCTAGTCCCCAGCCCCCAGCCTAGTCCCCAGCCTAGTCCCCAGCCTAGTCCCAGCCTAGCAGAGTCCCCCAGTCCAGCCTAGTCCCAGCCTAGTCCCCAGCCTAGTCCCCAGCCTAGTCCCCAGCCTAGTCCCCAGCCTAGTCCCAGCCTAGTCCCCAGCCTAGTCCCCAGCCTAGTCCCCAGCCTAGTCCCCAGTTTGGTCCAATTTTGTCCCTCAGATCAGCTTTGGTTCGTGGTTCGTCCTGGTGAAGTCCCTGGCTTGGCGTAGTCACAATTTCCCCACGGTTTAGTCTTTGGTTTAAACCCGGTTCAGTCCTGGCGAATTGATTTTTAAGAATTATATTTTTCACAAAAATTGCAGAGTTACAGTTACTGTTCTCATGATTTAAAAATAAATTCATGTAATACAATTTTGAGCTTGTGAAGGTGTACATGACTATATCGCAATATATTGTTCTTTGTTTTAGTATTGGACAAACATTTTAAAATCAAAACGACAAGGATCCCTGCAGCAGCTACAGAGGGAGGTGACAATTTTTCAATGTAAAGTAAATTTCAACCAGAACTGCCCCCATGATCACTTCTCATTTTGAATGCAGAGGCTTGTGGGTTTATTCATGTCCATTTATAAATAAAGTCTACGGTTTCAGCTGCAAACAGTTAAACCGCGAGCCACCACCGCTGCTCCCCATATGTTCAATTGTGTAGAAAGACTAAAAATAACTCTTATCGAATGGTGACTGACAAACCCAAGATTTTGGATGAGATAAACTGGAAGTCCTAATAAGGTCGTTCGTCTTTCACTTCTGAGAGATAACGTCACATGTTTGGGCCATCGATCGCATCTACTTCCTGTTTTAACTCTAAATCATCTTGGTCATTTTTACAGAGACAAAATAAGAGTAATATTATTCAGAGTGTTGTTTATGGTCTGGTTTGGATTTAGGCTCATTTTGGACCGGGTTAGTCCTGGCTAAATCCTGGTTTGGTTGTAGTTCGGTCATTATATAGTCTAAGAATAGACCAAGTTTAGCCCAGGTTTAGCCCAAGTCCAGTCCAGGTTGAGTTCAGATTAAATTTTAGTTGAGTCCTGTCTTAGTCCCGGTTTGGTTATGGTTTAGTCCTGGTTTAGCTCTGGCTCAGTCCTGGTTTGGTTCTAGTTTGGTCCTTATATAGTTCTGATTTAGCCTAGGTCTAGTCCAGGTTAAGTCCAGGTTAAGTCCAGGTTAAGTTCAGGTTAAGTCCTAGCAAAGTCCTGGTTTACTCCTGGTTTGGTTACGGTTTAGTCCTCGTTTAACCCTGGTTCAGTCCTGGTCTAGCTCTGGCTCAGTCCTGGCTTGGTTCTAATTTGGCCCTTTTATAGTCCTAGTATAGTCCTGGTTTGGCCCAGGTTTAGCCCAGGTCCATTCCAGATTGAGTCCAGGTTAAATCCTCATAAGAGTCCTGGTTTAGCCCATGTTTAGCCAAGGTCCAGTCCAGGTTAAGTCCAGGTAAAGTCCTGCCGTAGTCCAGGTTTGGTTACGGTTTAGTTCTCGTTTAATCCTGGTTCAGTCAGGTTTAGCTCTGGCTCAGTCCTGGTTTGGTTCTAGTTCACTTCCTTATACAGTCCTAGAATAGTCCTAGTATAGTCCTGGTTTAGCCCAGGTCCAGTCCAGGTCCAGTGCAGGTCCAGACCAGGTCCAGTCCAGGTTAAGTCCAGGTTAAGTCCAGGTTAAGTCCCGGTATGGTTATGGTTTAGTCCTGGTTTAGCTCTGGCTCAGTCCTGGTTTGGTTCTAGTGTGGTCCTTATATAGTCCTAGAATAGTCCTAGTTTAGTCCTGTTTTAGCCCAGGTTTAGCCCAGGTCCAGTTCAGGTCCAATCCAGGCTAAGTACTCGTAGAGTTCAGCCTTAGTCCTGATTTAGTTACGGTTTAGACCTCATTTAGTCCTGGTTCAGTCCTCATTTAGTCCTAATTCAGTCTTCGTGAAGTCCTGGTTCAGTCCTTATTTAGTCCTGGTTCAGATTAAGGATTTTAGTTAAGACCCGTCTAAGTCACTTCATCCCACTTTCCCTCAAAAGAATTAACTATACCAGGACCAAACCAGGACCAGACCAGAACTAAACCAGGCCTACATCTGTTCCCGTTTCCGATAAATCCATGTGTTTCTCGTCACATGTGCTGACTGTTTATTGGCTGGTGGTGCCCTCCAGCCTCGGCCCGGCGCTCGCACACCGCTGCCCCACTTTGAGCTGCTCGATCTGGGTTAGAGCGACGCCGAGGCCTGGGTCAGCTCCACACCAGACCCAGAGGCACATGAACCGGTCTGATGACAGCGCTAAATAGGTCTCCGTTAATTAAAAAGCGCATTGTGTAACTTTCTGGTCAGATCTACTTTACATTTATTCAATTACAGGTGGTTTTACAGCTCAAAAATACCAAGAAAAACATGGATTCTGACTGTGAGCGGGGTCGCCTCTCCACAGATCTGACCTGTAACTTGGTCTGGTTTGGTCTCCATGAAGATTTAATGCCATACTGTGAAACATTCCAGACAAAGCAAA